AGAATGAAGGGGAGGCGGCTGATGATGATGACGTTGGAGATTCCACAAGCGATGAGGAGGGTCCCGAATCGAACGTATGGTCATTCTATCTATTCGAAATCATACGGACTTGATTGTGAGTAGGCTAACTTCCCCATCTGGCTCGGTCATCTGAATCAACGATCTGAGTTCCTGCCAACATTAGTGCTAACAACAGCAGTGCTCTGAAGAATAGTCTTCTTAGAAGACTGAGCCCGCAGGAAGACAACCTGTGATGCCATGACGATAGTGTGGAATATGTGTCGTTGAGTTGCTAGTTAGTTGGATGCAGGTAGCTTGCAGCAGTGTTGGGACCGCAGTATATTGTGAGTTAAAATATATTTTTTGGATTCTTTGGAACCTTCGGGGGATGTCAAAGATGCGTTGGATACGCCTGTGTGAATTGTGAAGGAGCTTCGAGGTGAAACATCTTAGCAAAATACTCAAATCTTCCTAAACGTTCTAACTTGAGAGACCTTATTTTAAGTCTCTTTCTCCTTGAGATTTTCAGCCTTCGTAAACATTCAACGAAACATACTACAATCACATCTTAGCTGAGAATCTTGGGGAGAGGAGCCTATGAGGTAGACTCAGACCCAGTCACTTGTGACGCACGAATAATTTTTTCAACATATCATCAACTATCTTCAAGCTGGAACTGAGGCTTTTTAGTGGTGGACTTCGCACAGGTCCCGACAAAATCGGGACCCGATCGCCGAGCTCTGGTCCCAGATGCAAACGCCCCATCGGATATCCCGCCGAGACGTATAAGTACTTCAATAACTGCGTGCTTGAAATCGGCGATATCTGAGACCTCGCAGCATTTACTTCAGGACTGTTACTTCTGGTCCGACTTGCTCGACTGTGAAGCAAATATCTTGCTGCTTGGGCCAGCTGACGTACTTTATCCCTCGCCCTCCTGCAAAGGGGTCCCTGATCCGCTAGTACACCGCTCCGTGGATACATGAGGTGGATACACGCCATGGGAATCCAACCAGGATTCCTGATCATCCTGTGTTGATTGTACTTCGTGATTAGACCTCTTACTAACAAGAGTTCACTAACTACACACTGTGGATGCGAGGATCGAACTAGGCTCACACCGAGGAGCTACACGACCACTACTAACTTGCATTGGCAGGAGGGATCCGTCGGCGTCCTAAATTAGAACTCCTAATCCGTTGACTACGTCAGAAGCCTGTTTCAACGTGAAAATTCGATGGATTCTGATAGCAAATCGCTCCGCTCCCCCTTGTTTCGTGATTTACTCAGGGTTGAAGTCGCTTCGTTGGAAAATGTTACAGGAATGTTGATCTTCAGGCTGATTTGTTGTTTTGATCACTCGCACTTCAATCAACAAATTAATCAACAGTCTGACGCAAGTAATATTATCGTGATGAAGAAAAATGAGTATCCCAAAACGTGATGGGGAAAAGTGAGGCAGAGCCGTAAGTGTGATACAGCAACAATGAGTGTGACGAAGCAGAGAGTTGACCACACCAAACCCACTAGGCAATCAGCTGCACTCACGTGCCTTCCTACGCAGCTTCATACTTTCTACGCCTAAGCACTGCCATCACACGGTGAGAGCGCGGCATCACCCGTCCTGGGTCCGAGAGTTTTGAAAACTTCCTCCGACGAGAGCGATTATATCAATCGTCCCAATGCAGGTTCGCGAACGGCTAATCACGACCCAGTACCGTTATGAGGACTCCTAGAACAGCTAAAAAGACTCCCCAATCTTGATACACTCAAACACAATTCTTTATATTTGCTTGCATGACAGGCTGCCCCCCCCCCCCTGAAATTGCCGCCGGCCATCATAAGTGTGTCTTCCATGCGGTGGTGTTATTATTCTCTACTGCATTCAATCGATACATGGGGGATACACTAATTTCAGAAGCAGTGGTACGACAGTAGTAGCAGCCGACCACAACAAGACTACGTAAAAGAGTGCAGAAGGATGATACTGTACCATTACACAACCGCCTCCTTCACTGACACCATCACATAGACTTCCGAGCACCGAGTTCAGGCCCGAGTCCTCCGAAGGAACCATGAGGATCTTAGGCAAAAAACACGAGAATCCAGCAGCATTACTGGCGTTGGTACTTTTCATAGAATGCCCTGCTCATGCGTCCGCTACATCGACTCACCCAGCTGGCTGGATTATCTCATAATAGTCGAAGAAGAAGCTGTGATTGTCGAGGCCCATCGTTCTCGTCTCGACTATGATCTGACATATCCTCTTCACCACGCCACAGCATGCCAGTTGAACCTTCTCTCCTCGCGCCTACTTCCCCAGACGGTCTGCCATACCACCTACCACCCTTGTTCTTGACACTAACAACACAACACCCGGTGACCTCCGTGTAGGGAAAGAAAATGGCAAAGCCATTGACCGAGCCAGTACTTCAGAAAGATTGAGATGATATCTGGTTCGCGTTGAGTGGAAAGAAGCGTAGTGCTTTAAGCTTGCTGCTGCTGCTGCAAGACATAGTATTAGACGTATGGCCCGATGTGAAGTCTCTTAACATACATCTGACGTCTCGCTAGTTGTAGCGCTAGTTGTAAAAGTAGTAGCAATAGCTGTACTACCAGTAGGACTAGGCAGTCCTCCTCAATAATTCCTAAGGGACATGGTGACTCTCAAGTTCTCTGGTACACGGTTGAGCCACATAGTCTCCTTAACGTCATCATAACCAAGAGTGAAACGTATATCATCAAAATGTCTCAAGAGGAAGGCGGCTATGATAGTGCACTCCTTGACGGCCAGAGTCTGGCCAGGGCATTTGCGAGGTCCACAGCTGAAGGCCCAATGGTCTCGAGCAAGGTCACGGTTAATCTCTGTGGTACCGGGCAAGAACCAATTTTCCGGCCTGAGAAGAGCAGCAGATGACAAGATGGTGCAATTCCGCGATATTTCTAGCGCTACGATAATCCCTTGCGGCAGCGTTACCTGAATGAATTCCCCCTCTCTCTTCACTCTTCATAGCTTCATCCATCATCATGATAATAATCGTACCCACTTCAACAGGCCTGCCTTCAATAGAATATGGCGCGATGGTAATCGACGGGAGTGGACCCGGCGTCGAGCTTTGTACCTGAATCAGCATCCCTTTACCTATTACTCGGCTACTAAGTCAACCGGTCATCACGAGAAAGCTTCCCAGCCTCCTCAAACTCACACGTAGAGTCTCGAGGACACATGCCTCGACAAAAGTGAGTTTGCGGAGATCCTCAGCTGTCTCCGGATCTCTCCCAAGTGCATCAACCTCCGCCCTAGCTGCACGCTGGATATTTTTATTTGCGCACATCAAATAGACGAACCACTCCATCGTAGCCGAGGCCGAGGCGCTGCCAGCGAGTATAAACCTGAGTCATCTGTACGGCCAAGATTGTACAAAACCTTCTTCTCACGTGACAAGATTCCAGGTTAGATCTCCCTTGTGCATGTTGAGCAACTTGTCGAGAACGTTGGTCTTAGGAGTAGCTCCTGCTTTCAGCTCTGCCGTTCTCTCGTTGATGATCTTCTCTGAATATTGCACGACGGCCTTCTTACACGAGTAGAACTGAGCAGCAGATTGAGAAATGCTACCGGCTCGAGGACCTTCCCACCTCAGCAACAGATCGGTTGAGCTTGAAAGGATATCTGTCCTGCATGATCGGTGCCAAGTAGATATGCTTGAAGACATAGTCAATCGCGTCCATCCATCCCTGTACCGCCTTGTGAGCAATCTCTCGCTCCTTATCACGCCTCATATCTACGGAGGTAGTCTTGGAGACAAAGTGCTTACCTAAGCTTACCCAAGGTGTTCTGCAGGTTATAGTCTTCCCCGAAATGGGTTGCCACAGTAAAGTCGAGGGTACAGCGACGGAACCACTGGTGAGGAACCCAATTATCGATGATACCGGAAGGGTCGGCCAGAGTGGAGACGATGTTCACCTGAATGTTCGAACAACCACTGGGAACGATGTTCCCATGCACGATGTTCGCATACCATTCTCTTGGCCATCTGGGTCATTATAGGGACCATACTATCCGCGCTGGACTCGGACAGAGCGGGCTCTGCAGCCTTCCTGTTGAGCCTCCAGTGGTCACCCTCGCTTAGGAATACGCCAGACCTCGGTAACAGGTTTAGCGAATTGAACTGACGCATGTGGTAGCCCTTGACACGATCCTTCATCAACTGTCTGATAGTCTCTGGTTTCTGGGTAACGACGTAAGGGGTCGAGAAAACCCTGAAGAGGACAGACTTAACTGGCGGAAGGATAGGAAGAGTACAATAGCTCTTCGACCGACAACATCTAGGCAAGGACTCCAGAGAGAAATCATAAAGTCACACCCGACTATATCACCGAAATGGTACGAGAGCTGACGATGACTCACCGGAAACCGATAGTTTTGCCGTACTGCGTAATCCAGACTCGCATGCAGGCCAGGGCTTTCTCCTGGTCGAGTTGAAGAGCCATGCCGAAAAAGGGAACTCCCTGAGTGAGCCGTCACCAGCACTGACCTAAGTGATCCGATGAGGGAGCTCACCTTGGG